AGTTTTGTATGTAATTTTAGTCTTTCGTAAGAAATGCAGAATTCAATTGTGTATTTGAGTCTACTATTTAGCACACATTTAGCATACAGCATAATATAAAATGAATACGTAAGAATACTCTTATTAAATGTCATTTTATACAGATAAATTACTTAAATTATATATAAATTTTTTAGATGATTATTCAAATTTTATTATTGATGAAAAATTGTGTTAAATGCCATTTTTTAAAGCATTATTCAAATGTTTGGTGAAATGTATTTTCAAGCATACACCTTATAATAGAAATTTTTAATAAAGACCATTTATTCGCTCAAAAACGATTATTAAAATTAATATGTTTCATTCATTAATCAAAAATTTCAATAAAAAAGTACAAATTCTGTAACATTCCATTAGCATATCCAATCGAAAATAATTGAATTTGTTGATTCATTAAACATTCAACGAGTTCAATTTTCAAGTGTATATATTTTATTTTTGCATGAATTTTTAATACGAAAAAATAATCTAATACAAAACTTTGTTGGTCTTATTACACATTATCTTAAAATAAAAATTTCACAAAACTTTACTAGACTTTAGTAATGCTAGTTATCCTTTACATGGTAATTTTCTATAATTTGACAATATATAAATTTAAAATAAGCAAACTTTTAATGTTTTGAATAATAATAAAGTAATAATAAAATTAACTTAACATTCAAATTCAAATAAGTAATAATTAATCTTATATAAACCTGAGAACGTATTCTCTGTTTAAAATTTTTTACCTAAAACTAATTACTCCAAAAGAATTGAAATGAAAAAATATTTTTTAAAAAAATTAGGAATAAATCTTCTTATTACGAAATCTTTCGCTATGCAATGAAAGCATGTATACAAAAGAATCGTCTAAAAATATAATCTAAATCATGATAAACAGTTGTAGAAAAAGTGTGAATAAATTTCACTAATATAGATTCAATGTGATCAAGTTCATACATGAAATGCAAGATATATATAAGATGTTAACAAAAAGTGTCAAATATGTAGTACTTTTATTTGTTGCTTTTAATTTACCATTCGATGAATTTTAATCAAAACTTCAAAATATGGTTATTGACAGACTATTTTATTGTAAAATTCGTAAGATCAAAATTAGTATTAAATATCAAATTTTGATGTGCAGTAATATAGACTACATATTTTTCATACATGTTTAGATAAGCAATGATTTTAAAACAGCAAGCATGTTTGTTTTTTGTCGAATTACTTTCGATTTTTACAATAACTGTTTGCATTTTCTTTACTAATCCATGTGTATCAACATGAAATAAAACTTTGTAAATTTTGAAGTTATATTTTTTTAAAACATGCTTGCTCTTTGTAGGAAAACATGAAACCTTTGTAGAGCACTTAGGTATAGTATGTCAAATGCGACTCAAATTCTTTGAATATATACATAACAGCTACTTATTAATTCTCATTAATATACCTACACCTATATAATAAATAATTTTTATATAATAATATTGACTATATGTTTTTGCGAATTGATGCAATGATATGATTACGATAATGATACTATATGTGTCTATAATAAGGAAAGATTTATGTGCAATTAAACATCTTAACAAGATTACAGTTCAAATTCTATTTCAATGATTTGATTTGATTTGAGTTGATGAAGTGAGATTATTACAATCATATTTATTACACAGAATAAATCATGATTGAATAAAGAAAGCGCTATCAATCATACTAGGCCAACACAATTTATCTCTATTGGTTGGATACACACATGTAAGATTAAAAAAAAAATGATACCAAAAATAATACTGACACGAATTTAGTAAATTTGCTATTTAGACATCAAAGTCATAAAATCGTTAACAGCAGACTATGTAGAACATTATTTTATAAGATAGTTTTTGAAATCCATCATATGATATATTTTCATAATTTTTAATGTAATTATGTATATAAAGTCATCACATATATTCAATAAATAATTGATTAAATTCTCATTAATTGATCTCACCATCAATAATCACAATTTTGAGCATCAGCACATTTACATTGACAAGAGAACAATATATATATATTTTTTTGAAATATTTTTTTCAATAAAATATAATGCAAATAATGCAAAATATATGAAATAATATGGTATTAAATCATAATAAATTAAGTGGCATTTCATATATCTAATAATATATATGCAAACAAATATGTACATATATCTAAATAATAAAACAATTTTCACAAACCTTGCAGTTGCATAAGATAATATATGTAATTATTCGTTCACAACAGTTTGTAAAAATTAATACTTAATTGCGGCATATTGAAAAAAAATAATAAGGATAGTGTAACTAACAAATACCAAAAACTTTCGAAAAAAAAGGTTGAATTCAATAAAAGTCGCGCGCCAGTTATAAAATCCAATGTAATTTATAAAATAAAACCCCATTTTAAATATGGAAAATTAAATATTGGTGTTTTTCTTACTGAGCGCCCATTGATAGACATTTGTTTGTATAAAACTATTGTCAATGTCAACAATAATAAACATTTGCAACTAACCGCATGTTGCAATTAAAATTACAACACTTAATATAAAATATGATTACATTACATACAATTACGCTTGTAATATTTTCCTAAATTTTTACTTCAAATTTAAATTAATCTCTCTATATGATATAATGGAGCAGAAAAAAATAAGTGCAATATAAAAGATTATTATATCAGAGAATTAAATAAATTTGAAGAAAAAATTATTTTAAATAATCTGAAAATAGATATCTTAGGCCATGCTTTATAATCATGATGAGTTTTTGAAAAAAGTGGTTACAAGTCAAATGCAACATTTTGTATAAAATAATCACTTTTTAATCAATATTTATGCTATATACAGTTCCAATACCAACATTAACGTCAACTTCGCATTCATAATGCAAGGAAAGGAACTGATTTGCCTAAGAAAGCCTATCAGTGATTGACTTCAAATGAGAACTCATAATGCTTATTTCATATATTAATAAATTAATATATATATATATATATATATATATATATATATATATATATATAACTTGAAAACTTAATGCAATTGCCTTAATGTTAACCTGTCTATTATAAATAATAATTCTGATTATTTCATGATCTGCACTATCCTTATATTTGACCCTATTTTGTATGGCTCAATTAATCAAATTCAATTCAATTCAATAAATAATATTTTCGTCTGAATATTTAGTACTTAACAATGGCATGGGCACCACAAAATCATTGGATTTACTACCAAATATTAATTTGCTCTAATAAATCAACATGCTCTATGCCAATGCACAATTACATATAAATTATGCTTTATACATATTATTTTATCTAAACACTATATTAATTTATATATACTTAAATATAATATATGCACAATATTAAATCATTAACATTTTTAACTATAAATGAATACTGATATAAAACAGGAATGCATTACATCATCGGCTAGCAATCAAATTTCAAACACTTAAGATAAATTCATATAACACGCTCAAACATTATGAATATTATATAAAAACAAATAAAATTTACTAACACAAAATATAGTTAATGCTTCGATTGTATTAACAGAATTTAAAGATTTAATTTAAGAACTCCAGTAGATGCATAAAATTTCCTTATTTCAGTTATATAAAGATTCCTACAAAAAATAATACCGACAATTGAAATTTTAAATAATAATTTGAGTTACATGAAAATCGGCATACAAGTGACTATTATTTTGCTATTGTCTAATACTAATTTTTCATTACTTATTAAAATAAAAAATTGTTTATTTCTAAGTATTGCTAAACTAATTATAAAAACTAATTGCACACTAACACCTAAAGTTTAAATTCAAAACCTATTAAAAAAAAAACTCTATGATCTTATGCACCTAAAAACCTGTGAACTTTCCTATATTTCGCATTTTTTCAATATAAATTATTTTATCGTGTTTAATTAATAACGAGTATTTTGAACAAATAACAACGAAGCTAATGTATCATACAAAATATTGTATTGGAACAATTTACCTATTTCTAGAAACAAATTACTAATTCAAAGTATATATAGCACCCTTTAGAATAGTAAGAATCAGTACGATCAATACACAAATCTTTGGTACAAAATTAAATAATATATTTGAGATCTCATAACTCACAAACTCTTTAGTCGTACACATAAATCTTTGGTAGGAAATTAAATAATATATTTGAGATCTTTACATAATCATTTAGTTCATCTTTGGTATTAGCATTATAGCAATTGTGAACAACTTGAAATGTGCATCAAAAGCACTAATAAAATATTATAATATTATAATAATTTCCTTCACTAATAAACTGATTTATATTATAATAAGCGAGGTAATATATCCACTTGTTGAAAATAACATAAGATATGGTTAAATAAAACCATATAGCTAACCATTTTGCTAAAACTAAAACAGTAAGATATCTTACTGTATAATATATATTATACTGTATAATATATATTATATGCTTATTATAATAAAAGGTTTTTTAGTGAACATATTAATAAATTATTCCATAATATTTCAACTTTTTATTATTAACAGATAATATTAAATATCAAATTTAATTTTGGTAATATATTCAAAAATATGTACAATGTAAATTAATATCCTCTAATCATCCAAAATTTCTTTATAATTTTACAAGAATTCCTAATAAAAAGTGGTAAATTGAATAAACTATATAACTATAATTAGAAAAAAGTAAAACAAATTTGGAATAATTATTTGTCGTTCGCTCATAATATATTCATGATATATTTGGCAAAGATCAAATCCATTATAATTATATAAAAAGAAAAAGATATACTTAACACATTGTTAAATATTTTAATTTAAAAAATTGTAGCTACCATGAAATAATTTATGTTCAATGCTTACATAATTAGAAGATAACTGATAGCACCTAATAGTAATTACCTTTTAGATAGCGAGGAACATATTAACCCAATAACCTTTTGAATTTGAAACATTAAATTTAATATTTCAAGAATTGAAAGCTACCAGTATCCTGTTTAAGCTTGTTGAGTTGAACTTAAAAATTCTGGATCTACAAAAACCACTTTTGCTGTAAGGAATGCATGCATGCAATAAAGCAGACTTTGCAAAATTGAGCAATCCAATTCCTGCAAAAAATTAAGTAAATTAAGTAAATAGTTCTAAACGTATATTGATTATTTGTAATTTGGTGAGTTAATAATTAAAAAAGTAAGAATCAGAACAAAACAATGTTCACATAACACATAAATAATCTTCATCATAGCATTGATTTTCTTAACCAGAGTATCTTACATTTTGAAACTAATTTATTTAAAAGGAGATTTAGTGTAGGTAGTCCATTTTCATTATGCAATAAAGTGATTAACAATCTACTGACAGTAATTTGCTTTGTAATAATGAATATAAGATATTCCTCGACAAATTTTCAAACAGCATTAAATACTGAATGAAGACCCTTTTTCACTACTTTCCAAAACCCTATGTTTTACGATTTTACTCATTTTAAAAAAATCTTTGTGAATACAAACAACTATGTACACAAATCTATGAACACAAAACTGAAAATCACATTCATTTTTAAATGTTTGAACTATTGATAGCTTGATGTTACATTTTCTGCAAATTAGTGTAGTGTAGTGTTAATTTGTTTTTGTCTATAAATACCTATCTATAAGTCCAATGTCTTCACATTTTTTTTTTAAATCAATTATAAATAAACTTTCCAGAGCTGATTTCCTAATTGCTTTAGTTGTTTTTACTTGGTGTTACTTTCCGAATCAACATACTTATTATAATATAATAATATATATATAAAATACTTAATATATATATATATATATATATATATATATATATATATATAATATACCCATTATCAAATTTAACTTTGAAATAAATAAATAAATTTATCATGCTAATGTTTAAATAGTAAGAGCTTGCAACATGTAAAAAGAATAATAAAAATTAAACCTTTGTCTCAATGGTACGAGTATCACTGTCTTGGAAGTGAAGTTTTAGCCTTGTTTTTCCATCATCACTAGAACCCCTTAATTGTGAAAATTTATACTGCCATAATGTGACACCATCAGAATCACCCAATGAAAATCCATGATTCCAGTCCAAAGTCAAGCCACATGGCCGACCACAATGTGATACACCAAACGTTTTTTTCTATCATAAACAATTTATATATTACACAAATATACATAGTTTCTATTTAATAAAATACTATGTACGTGTGGAGATACATTACCCCTAATTTAATTACGCTTGTGACAATCGCTGCATGCCAAGCACTTTCTATCCTAAGAAGTTCTTGCCTGGTTTCCACACTCAAATACCTAGGTTCTAAGCCAGAACTGCGTAAGAGAAAACAATGCTGACGGGAGTCAACATTTTCAGAATCTTTGACAATACGAAACATTGTTTGGTAGACTTTAAATACCAAGGGGCACTTTGACAATCCAGCAACATTCAGCTAAAGTTTAAGAAATAAATTATTAAAATATAAAACTAAGAATAATAATGAACAAGTAACAAATCATTTTAGCTAATGTGTCTATTAATAAATAGGGTTGATATTAAAGCAATTTTGAAATTAAGTTAAATACATAAAATAATATTAGTGTAATAACTATGCAAACAGCATAAAATATTTTGATAAGAAAACAAACAAATTTACTAACTGGAGGTGAATCAAATAACATAACATCAGTTCCTTTTAATGTAAGAAATCTTGGCTTATAACTCTGCCATGGCTGATTGTTGTTCATAATTCCTTCATTAACCCAACCCATATATTCAATTCTCTCTCCTACTACAAAGTTGCGATTGTACAATTTCATCTACAAAAAAATAAGTAAAAGGTATACAACCTAATTATAATGGTTAAATTTTTATTAAATTCCAACTTACTTGTAAATGTGTTAACCCCACTATATTATCAGTAATATATTTTAACCATTGTGAGAGGATTGCTAGATCATCACAGTATATGACACCAGTAGTAGCTCCATTTAATCCACGAACTTCGAAAGCATTTGGTCTCAATTTATCAGTACCAAACATATATCTAGTCACATATGCCATCATTAAAGGAACTAAAATAAATAAATAGGATATGCATTAATACAATTCGTAAGTCACATTGCAATAAATAAAATTTTGTGGCAATAACATCATATATCTGTTATGCTTCAATACAAGGAAAGTAATACTTCAATATTTAATTTACCAGTAATGACATCAATCCATCTTTTTTCTGGCTCTGAAGTCATAGAAGTAGGTCGGCTTTCAGAAGCTGATTTCCACCCTTCATCAGCCTGTAGCTCTGCACAAGTTTCTGCATTATCAAGCTCAGGGCCTTCTTTGGACACTGAATAACAGATACATTAGTACTTATAGTCAAGTAAATTTTAATATAAAACTAATTATTAATAATAAAAACATGCTATTTCATTTAAATCACATTACAAAATATATAGTCAATATGTTCACAACCAAATTAAAATAATGGCAAACTCACACTGCTTTTGTAGAAAAGGCGTTGCTGCCCTATAATGTTTAACTGTCAGCACAACTAAATCTCCAGCATTCCTCAAAATATTTACTGCATCATCGTGGATACAGGCAGTAATATACTCTCCATTTACTTTAATAATTGCATCACCCACAAATAATTGTCCTGTTATATCCGCAGCTTGATCTTTATATATTCTAGATATTAGTATTGGAAGCTTATGTTCCGCACCTCCTTTAATACTCAGACCTAATCCGCCAACTTTCTGCCTTGTAATTTGCACCATTCGCTCCTAATTATGGTATTATGATAATGCAATAAGCAACAATGTAAATCAAATTTTATTAAATAATTATTAATTAAAATTAGTTATATACAAGAACTTACTCGAGTATGTGTAGGGCCAGCAGACTGATTGATAAATAATAGCTCTTCTTTTTGCAATGTGAGTACCTCCATGGACAACTGAATTCTAGCAGGCTGTGGTTCACTTTTACCATCACTCACAGTGACCATCCCAGAACGAACCTAAATTCAAATTAAAAATAAACAAAAATGCTCTAGAACATTATAAACTTGATTAATACTGCCTTAAGTTTCTGTTCCAAATCGATCTTTTCCTCTATAGGAGTAGTCATTTTCGTAGCGTTGATCTTCATTATTAACTCGACTAATTACTAAAACATTTCACCATCTAAAAATAATATTGAAATGCATATATAATCAAGCGATTAAATATTGATGAGAGCATTGCGCAAATTACGATAGAGAAATACTCCACCCTTAAAAAAACTTATTAAACAATAAATAATAAAATATCACAGCACGTACTTTATCTGCATATCACTGATTAATTAATTAATCTAAAAAATTCGAAACAATAGGTGTTTTGGGCATGTCAGATTGCTCTCGTAAGTTCACCATCTTTTATACATAACCAATGCAAGCGAAAAGACGCACGCAGCTCGACAATAACAAATGTATAAGAAAATGCCGACAGAAAATAAATCAACTGTGATGATTATTGAGCTTTCGTTATACTTTAACGAATATAAATATCATTTTTATTTATTAACTTTTGCGCGATTAGATAAACTAGTGGGGTGCATGGCATCGTGCCTTAACGCAAATTGCTGGAACTTCCCGTACCGTAATTAAAAATCTTGGTGTACACATTATTAAAATCTCTATAAAATATCTGATAATTTATTTGATGTACATATGTCCAATAAACATTTTTGACCGCCAAATGACATTTTTTTAACTTATTTTTATTGAGAGTCCATAACCGCTGGACCTGCCTTCCCAAAAATTTAATAAATTTTTCATCTTATCAATACAATTAAAATGTTTTTTGAATTATTAAAATCGGACCCTCCGTTCTCTTAAAAACTGAGTTACCGTTTTTGGCACTTTTTGCCCCGCATCTTAGGAACGGCTAGACCGGCCTTCGCCAAAAACTAATCAGCAAGTCTCCATATCAATACGAATCGAATGTTTTTATTATTCAAATATATAATATAAATGTTATTCAATTATTCAAATCGGTGTTTCCGAAATCGTCGACGAAAATTTGTATTGTAATTTGTATACGCGCACACACACACACATATACATCCATTTTTTCTAAGGTATGCCAAAATGTTCAGAAAACTCTGAAACGTAAAGATATAAAAAATTATTTTCGATTTTTTTCGATTACTATAACCTACCCTATGGGAAGTTAATTATTATTATAATTAATGTATAATGAATGATTATTTTTAAAATAGAACATTTTTATGGTGAACTGCTTCTGAATATGCTATAAGACTTTCTGCTTGTATTGAATGATATCAACTTATTATTATATATATTTATAACGGCGGTAATTAAAAAAAATTATTTCAATTACAAAAAATTATCAAAAATAATAAATAATATTTCGAAATACCATGAATTCATGTATGAGTTTGGAAATTTATTCATCATATATTAAACTAAATTATAATAAACAAATATGTTAAACATAATATCCCATTCATTAAAGACATACCACAGGACATTAATATATTAAATATGAAATTAGTAAACCAAGATGCATCTTGATGCATCATATTCATGAATATTATATACTGGGCGATTTAAAAAATTGTTGATGACATATAATTATTTATGCAATGCAAATACAATCAATGGAATTGCTAATATTATTAAGTATAGAAATATAACAAAAAATATTTTAATGTTTTATTTAATATATAACAATAAGTATTTCTATACAAACTAACATAATGAAATTGAATATATTTGGAGAATGGCTATATACTACACTTGAACATCTGAATTAAGCTTTTTACATGCCCTATGGTCGAAACTCAAAATATCTGGATGATCAAGAGCAAGGGCATTATAAACATTGATTATGCGAACAAATTCCTCATTACTAATTTGAAATGGTCTTATCGTAGGATCCATATCAGCCAGTAGTAAAACTTGTTGTGTTAGTGTCTCTCGCTTTTCTTCTGGAAACAATGTCTCTAAGCCTCTGACAAAGTATTTTTGTCTCATATTAAATATGTTACGCAATACTTTTTCTACAACTTTAAAGGGTACATCAGTTTTCGGTGTTTTCCAAGGTGTGATATGAACAACACCAACATCTACTTGAGGTTTAGGCACAAAAGTGGATCCTGGTATAGTAAATTGTGTTTGACATCACAGTATATTTGGCAAATTACAGATAATCTGCAACGTTGATTGGACATGATAGGAGCGACAATTCTCTCTGCTACTTCTTTTTGAAAAGTCAGAGTCATTGTAGCCCTACCATTTTGCCAAATACTTTCACGTCTAGATATAGCTTCCAGCCATTGGATTAAAAGAATTGTGGATATGCTGAAAGGCAAATTACCTATTATGTTAATCGGTGGTGAATGAGACATCCAATCACAAGATGGTACACCTGGAAAAGCTTCTGCTAATTGATATTTTAAGATATCATCTATTACAATATCCATTCGGCTTGAATTGTGACATGCCTCGGCTAAAAGTTGTAAGGTAGGCATAAAACGCTTATCTTTCTCAACAACTACAAGGTGCTGAGGACCTTTGCGTATTATGGATCTTGTAATACCTCCGGGACCAGGTCCAACTTCACAAACATAATGCCCTTCAATATTTCCAGCAGCCCTCACGATTTTATCTGTTAATCTTTCATCCATAAGAAAATTTTGAGACATCTGTTTCAGAGCTCTGAGTTTATAAAGTTTCACAAGGTCTCTTATCGTGGGTAAAGGAGGTAAACGTAACTTGCAAGCTAATTGTTGTGCTATCATTGTGGATTAATAATTAACTGGAATAAGAAATACTAAAACAATCAATCTGAAATTTTCGCTGGCTCATTGAAATCGTCTAAAAACTTTTCTTGTTTCACTGAGAGGATTGTATAAAAATAAATACCAAAAACACTTCCCGCTAATAATCCTCCTGTAATTAAATTAGATCTACGTAATTTTTTCAATTTTTCGACTCTAGCTATATTTTCCTTTTCAATAAATTTCATGAAATCTTGCTCAATTTGTGTCAGCTTACGATTTTCTCCTGTTATTGTCAATTTCTGGTTTCCTTTCTCTGCCATTTTATATATATTAAATAATCAAAGGGGTTGATTACCCTATTTTTCATTCAATTTCAAGATAATATATTATAACCATACTTTTGTTTTACAAGTTTATACAATCAATTGAGATTGGAGACCAACCTACTGATTTTATTATTCCTATCTTTGATGCTACGAGCTACGCCGTCATACAATGAAAATAGGAACTTATTCGGAATTAAATATATTAGTGTGGATCTTAGATGAATCATTTCATTACTGTGTTGTTTTAACAAATTATGATGATTCATAAAGGTATTATAATGTATATATTAAAATAATATGGATTAGTATTGCTTTTCTAACTCATTAAAATTTTTTCAATGATGATCAGTACAAAATCAAATCATGGACTTTTCAATCATTGTGCCAGATGTCTCTAAGTATTTCCATGCTACAAATCTTTAAGGGGGTCTTCCTATGTGACGGCCTGTTTTTAGGGATATTTTAGGATTTTTTTCTACGACCAGTAAATATTTAGAGCTTCAAGTTTTTTATCATTTATTAACACATATTTGAGACAGTATAA